AAAAAGACACTCATGTTATGCCGTGGAAGACGGGCATGTATATGACATTGCTGTTTGCTGCTTGTTGTTTGACATCCAAATACCACAAAAGAAAAAAAAAAAAAAAGAAAAAGAAAAAGAAAAACCCTCATTAGCGATGCATGCATGCATACTGTAGCAGAATCCTCGCTACCACAGTTTGGCTAAACCGACGCGAGCCGCTCCGTAATCATAGCTACTTGTACAATACACACGGTTTATTATCATGTCACATACACATATTTTTTTTTCCCTCTACGCGGAGCAGGCCGCTCCTCGTCCCCCGGAATGGGGAGGGGCAAGCGGGCCCCAAACTACCACTCCCATCTCAAGGAGGGAGTAGGTGGAAAAAAAAAAAACTGGAAAAAAATTTTTTTAATGAATCTCGTGACTATTCTCCTCCTTCGCTGTTTCATGCATTTCATGTTGTTTGTCTCTTTGCTCGGGTCAGGTGGCCGGACGGCGCAGGAGGAGCAGGATAGTCACCGGAAGATCTTCTTGATCTTCTTCCAGGTGCCGCCGCGCTTGGCGTTGCCGTTGACGGCGCTGGCCACGTCCGTCGTGCTGCTGCTGCTTAAATATATGTTCTTGTTGTCACCGGGTTTCAGGTGTGCGTCCGCCCGCTGCGCTTGGTAAGTGTCTACGGGGGCAACGGGGTGCCCGTTGCTGGTGAAGGGTCGGGGGCTGCCCTCTGGTTGCGTTGTCAGCGCACCCGCCTCCAAAACTGCAGGGGCCGACTTTTGCGTCGAACTCGCGTCTCTGGCGGGGCTGCCGCTGCGTGGGGACAGCAGACCACTTTCGACAGTCTCGTTGCGCACGATCCCACGCTCTTGGGCGTCTTTCTCTTCCCGGATGCGGACCTGCCAGATCCGCTCGTTCTCGAGGATGGTGTCGACGGCGAAACTCATGCCGGGAAGCAGCTTCGCCACGTTCTCAAACAGTGGACGAGCGAACACATTTATGAAGCCGATCTGTGACTCGCCCATCTTGACGACGTTGTCGCGGACAGGCGGGCCGCCGAAGAGCTGTGTGGGGATCCCCAGCTCGATCTCCATGTTGCCCTGGTTCGAGAACTCATCGGTCAGGATAGAAGCCCATTGTGCGGCTACTGGGAAGGAACGGGCCTGAGTACCAGCTCGTCAGCATGGGGTTCGAAATTGAACTTGACAAATGTACACATACACACACACACATATATATATACATATATACATGTATGTATGTGTGCATATAGACGTGTGTGCAGGTATGTATATAGACGTGTGTGCATGTGAATGTGTTTGTGTGGGTAAACGAAGAGGGTAGGAAGAGAGTGGGGAAAGGGTGAGAGCGAGGAGAGAAGCACATGTGAGACAAAGGGGGGGGGAAAAAAAAGTCCAAGAATCACGTACAACATTGGAGATGTCAGCGCACTTGATCAGCAGCCCACATATGAGGTCCCTGTAGCCCTCCTGGACCTTGACGTTCCATCCGTCGAGTTTGCCTCCGTTGTGCGTGTACTTCTCCTGCAGATTTCCCATCTCGCTCATGTACTTGAAATGAACGCCCATGTCCGTCGCCAAGATGTCGTTGATCATGAGCTTCCGCATCGCCGTGTCCTCAAAACAGGCGGGCCAGTGCCGGCGCAGGATCTGAGAGTAGGCTGCGCAGTGGAAGGACTCGAGCACGGACTGATCGTTGTACAGCTGGGCCAGCGGCGAGTTGAGGACGACCAAGAAGGCGTTGTTGACGCCTGGGTGGCCGACATCGTGCCCGATGGCAGCGACGAGCAGCGTGAGCGCGTCAAAGGGTTTGATCAAAGTGGAGATGGGACATCTGATAGGTTTCAGCTTTCCGCGCGGGTGTGGATACGGTGGAAGAGCGCCTATCGAGCAGAGAGAGTAGAAGCAGGCTTGCAGGACATCGACGACGTGGCGGAAATTGTGATAAAGGACAAAATCGTTGTACGCGGCACGAGTGGCCATCAAAAATGTGAGAAGGTTCTCTGTGAAAGGGAGTCGAAAGCGTTAGCGTGGCAGACCAATGAATGGTGGTGTGTTTGGGGGGGGGGGGGGGGGGGGGGGGGGGGGGGGGCAGGGTCGAAACAACAGCCGCATGACGAAGCCGCTCAGCAAACGTTTGGGGGAGCAAGTATGCCCCCCTTCAGCAAATATGCAAAGTTTCCCAGGAAAGAAGGGGGGGGGGGGGGGGGGGGGGGGGGGCCAAAAAAAACCACGGGTACTAACGAAACAAACAAGGGCGACGTACCTTCGCTCATGCGCCACTTTTCAACCTCTGGCATGGTGAGCGCATGTTGTAGCATCTGCAGCGCTGCATGGAGCAGCTCGTCGTCGGTGAAGTCGTGCGCGCTGAATTCCCAGGTGCCGATGCTTTGGGCGACGACCTCCTTTCTATCCGGCTCTATCTCGACGTCTGTTACGTCGTATTTCTCTGGCACCATGCCAGGATTGCATATGCGCTCCATGAGATTGGAGACCATGGCTTCTCTGAGATAGGCGTAAGGTTTCGTCTCGTCGACACCCACCCATGACAGCTTGCGATTACGTTTCTGCGCCATAAAGGCGGCCTCGGATGCGCTGACCTCCTTATATATCCGGTAGGCATGGACGGCAAGGCCCTGAACGGAGTCTCTCGACATGGGGCTAGCCAGCACGTCAACGGCACCGTTGTCGAGGTACCGCGTCAGCCGAAAGGTGTCAGACAAAACCTGGGAGCCATGTACCGAGGGCGAGGGCAGACTCGAGTTGGCAGCCCACTCGCGATCAAAGCCGCTGAGAACGACGACGGGGACGATCATCCGCGACAGGTTCCGGGCGTGGATCTCGGCGGAGATGTGGGTCAAGAAGGGAACACCGTAGATGTCTGCGGCCTCGAGAGACTCGTTGGTCTTGGGTCGAGTACGGAACGAGGTTGGGGACGGGGTACGTGGCTCTCGCGACAGGCGTTTCCGACGCTGCTCCTCATCGTAGGGCACGTCGATGAGCAGAACGGTAGGACATGGACTCTTGGACGACTGTTGCAGTTCGGCGAGTTTGTCCAGACATATGGAGCCGGACTGACAAAGGTGGACTGGCGATTTGGAAAAGAAGATATGTCAGCGGCAAGCTCACACAGGCTCAGCACAGGGTCTTGTGTAGATGTGTTCGTATGTCGGGTGGTGTAGCTGACGGCCGTGTGAAGGGAAGAAAAAAAAGAAAGGGGGAGGGAGAAAGAGGGAGGGAGAGACAGACAAAAACAAAGGTCGTGGGGGAGGAGGGGTGACGGAAACGGAGCACACGACATGGAAGCTAGGACGGAGGGCAACGAGAACGAGCTTGCGTACCTTCGTTGAACGTGGTCAGTATCGACTGGATGTTGTTGCGCAGTTCCTCCGGTAACCGCGAGGGGATGTCAAAGTAGTCCTCGTCCTGGGAGCTCGGCATGCTCGCATTGCTGGTCTCGCTGTTTGGAAACACAGAGTCCCTGCGAACCGTCTTTGCTTGGGCACGCCGATCTAGGTATATGACGTTGCAGGCGCCATGGTCCATGGCTTCGTGTTCGACGGGATCCCAAGGGATCCAACCTCTCTTCGACTCCTCCTCCTCCGCTGCTCAAGAGGATCCACGCTCTTGCTCTCGCTCTCGCTCTCTTTGTCTTTGCCCGCCAGGCCGTAGGAGCGAAGGCGGAGGGGACGACGGCGCGCCAGCTGTGGGATCTAACGACAAGGGAAGGTCGTCTGGCGCAACTTGTCTAGAGCCGTGCCTCCATGGGACGTGGCCCCCGTCGCGGATACGCAGGTTTTTGAGCGCACAATGCTTGGTCGGGGATGGCAGAGATGCGCGGAAGGAATGTGTGAAGCGGTAGGGGGCAAATCGGGAACAATGCGAGGAGCGCGCAGAGAAGATAAAAACGCCCGATGCGCAGGGGAGGGGGGAGAGGATCGAGGCCCAAGCGTTCCAAGAGAAGAGTGAGGGCGAAAGCGCAGCGGGTGCGTCGAGAATTGGAGTGCGAAAAGCGTGAAGAGCTGGTGGTTGAGGGTCGAGGAATGCCGATCGGTGGACGGAGGTCGATCTGGTAACCAATGGCAGCGACGGACGGGCGGACTCGATCACAAGGTCGACTAGGTCAAGGGCGTCGGATGGACAGATGGGAGGGATCGGTGTAGCTTTGCGACTGTGCGAGAGTGAGCGGCAGGCCGATAAGGCACAGACGAGTCGTGGTGCTGCTGATGGGGGCAAGCTGCGTCGCGGGTCGGCGGTGGTGGTGGTGGTGGTTGTTGTGGTGGAAGGTTGGATGAGGTATTGCGCCCGCCGAGATGCGGCTCGATGGTTCAAACCACCAGCCACGACCACCACCCACCGACGGCCCAGCATCGGGAGCGCGCGCAGAAGGGGAGACGGAGCAGTACGTACCACAGCAGCGGGGGCGAGTGCCAGTGGAAGAGGAGGGCGCAGTGGTTGGGCAGGCGCCAAAGGAAGAAGCGGAAGCAACAGAAGAAGAGCAGCAAGGGTTGAGGGCTGGACAGCAGGCGGGAGAGTGAGGTCGAGGGAGTGCGCCGGCTGGCGAGCGAGTGTACAGAGACTCAGACGGGCGACAGCAGGCAGGGCAGAGCAGCGGGAGGCGACGGGCAAGCAAGGACAGGCCCAGGCAGGGACGGCGGTCGAGGGCGATGGTACGAGGGTGAAAGGTTTCAGCGGAGCAGTCAATTGGTGCGCATCAGATGGGGGGAGCAGAAAGCAGCAGAGAGAGAGAGAGAGAGAGAGAGCAGAGGGTCGAGGGAGCCGGGCCGAGAAGCGCGCAAGAGGCGACGGACGCAGACGAGCAGACGAGAGAGGAAGGTCGCACGTCGTCGTGCACCAAGCCCTCGACGTCGGGCGCGTCTCACCAGTCGACCGGGGATGCCCGTGGTCGTGACTTTGCCTCTGTTCTTCTTCTCCTTCTTCTTCTTCTCCTCTTCTTCTTCTTCTTCTTCGTCGTCGTCGTCGTCGTCTTCTTCCTCGTCTTCTTCCTTTTGTTTTCTTCTGATAGAATTTAATTCCGCCGAGCAACGGTCACGGCGCTGTCCGCAAGGTGGAGAAAAGGTGAAGAACTAAACGGGACAAAATAAAAAAAAATACACGTATTAAAAGAAAAAGAACGGCGCGAGAGTTGCTGGCTTGCGTGTGGCGTGCTGGCAGCCCTATTCTCGCCAGCGCTTGGTGACTTCAGCAGTTGGCAGGCCCACAGCACAGCAGCACACGCTCACGCACACGCGCTCTCACAGGCGCTCAGGCGGTTGCACGGCGCAAAGCACGGTGCCAAAGCGGCGGGTCGGGGGCTCAGAATGATGTTCGGCGAATTGGATGGCGGCGGCGGGGGTGGTGGTGGTGAGGAGGAGGAGGAGGAGGAGGAGGAAGAGGAGACCGTGTTTGGCTGCTGGCAACCATGGTGGGCTCCATCACTTGGGGCTCACCACCCAGCCGTCTGTGTCGAGCCAGATGCAAGATGCGGCCATGGACTAGCTGGCGACCTGTTTTGTTTCGAGTTGCTCCGCGCTCCCCGTGCGTGGACAAGATTAGGTTTGGGCGATGACAGGGAGGGGCAAGCGTGGAGTGGACGCGGCAGCCGGCCGACTGGATCTGAACCCTCGCTTTCGTCCAGGCCCCACACGCAAGGGAGCAAAGTTGAGTTGGTGACCGGGCCTGGGACCAGGTGGGAGCGGGAGGGCGACGATGGCGTTGGATGAGAGGAGGAACAACACGGGACGGGCAGCCTGGGCAGAGCGCACACGCGCGCGCTTGACGACGACTTCCTGTGGCCGGCCGATGTTTCTGCCGTCGACGTGCTGATGAATCCCGCTATCATTCCCATTCTTCGTCTTGCTCTGGTTCTTTGCTGGCGGAGCGAGCACAAGCAAACCCAGCCCGGGCGAGCCGTGGAGCAACAAGCCCGCCCGCAGCGCGTGCCTGCAACGGGCGGCAGCTGGCGGGCTGAGCGCCTGGAACAAGGGGGGCGGGGGGGGGGAAGTGGGCAGCAAAGGCGGGCAGCAAGCAATCGAAGTCGTGGGCAGCAGCAGCAGCAGCAGCAGCAGCAGAAGGCCGCGAACACAAGCGGCACGCCAGACCAAGGGAACGACAGCACACGGAAAAAAAAAAGCCCAATACGCCTTTTTACCCTTTTCCTCGCTTGCCGGCTGCTGAAATCTTTCCGCCTCCTCTCTTCTTTTCATTCTTTTCATTTCGCTTTTTCTTACCTTCACACCTTCGTCTGCCGCTTCCCTTGGGGCGGGGCACGACGTGCAGGTCCACCTGCGTTTCGGGCGTGCAGCAGGGACGGGTCGAACGAATGTTCGCGCGCTGTTCCATCTGCGTTCTAGAGAGTTTCCATCCGCATCTTCGTTCTCGCCCGCCCTCGTCATTGGCTGCGTCCCCCCATGTCTGCTCGAGGCTTGGCAGCGTGTCCGCCCGTCGACCAGCCCGTGCGTTGCGCGAGCCAAAACATCGGGCGGAAAAAAAAATTGAAAAATTACCAGAACGTGAAAAAGAGGGAGAGGTAAATAAAATATAAAACCAATGGTTAAGCAAAAAAAAAAAGAAGGTGCGGAAGAGACTTAGTCCTGCGAAGGGCTCACACACACGACGACCTGGCCCCACAACAGCGCCGCCTCTTCCCGTGCCTCCTCTCCGCTACTGCTGTCGCTGGCTTGCCTGCCTGCTTGCTTGCTTGCTTGCTGCCGACTCTGCTGTCTCACCCGCGAGTCAGCGCCCGTAATGCAGCTCGCGTGCAGCCGTGCATGGGCACGGATCCTGCATCTGCCCATCTACGATCCTTTCGGCTGCGCTGGCCTCGTGAACCGACCCATCTTTCGCCCTCATCATCATCTCGACGCATGGGCCCATCACGGCTACCTCTGCTGACGGATCACCCACAGACAGCCACTGCGGGTGCCCTTACTACTGCTAATACTGCTACTACTGCCACTGCTGATGCCGCTGCTGCTTCTAATGCCACATCGCGCTCATCACAATGCTTCGGGTACCGCCGCTCTTTACTTGATGAATCCCCCTTCCCCCCCCCCCCTCTTCGTCGTCTCAGCCCATCTCAGCCCAACCAGCCTCGCTGTTCCCGTCTCCATCATGTCGTCGCCCAACAATGCACTCTCGCCTCCCGGGACGACACCCCCAACCCATGTAATCATTGTACACGGGGCCGTACGTCTTCCTTTTTGAACCTTCCCCGAGTGTCTCCCTCTCTCTCTCTATATATATACATATACACATGAAATAAAAAGCTGACGGAGTTGCAAGGCCTGTTTCCTCAACAGCGCAGACCTCGTCCCCTTGTCGTGCGAGGGGTGTTGGGAAAAAAAAAAAAAGAAAAGAAAAATCAAACAAATGAAACAAAATAAAGCATTTCTCTCTTTCTCTGTTCCGCAATCTCGTCCCACCCCTTTCGCTCCTCCGCGTGCGTTACAAGAGACGAGGCTTACACGTGGCTGGAAGGCTCCCAAGGATCCCGCCTGTAGAACGAGCCGGCTCTGCTCGTGTCTCTTCGCAGCAATGACACGCCGCCCTGAACCACTGGCGCTCCCTCCTCCTGCTTTCTCTTCCTTTTCCTTTTTCTTTTCTCGTCACCGTTGTGGGTCCCTGCTCTCCTCATGCAGTCGATATATCTCCGAGTGGCAACTTCCGCTTCGGAACTCTATTGGCGACGACGACGACGACGATGACGACGATGGCGGCGCCTCGACGGGAGAAAAAGAATAGCGAGGCGTACGGCAAAGGCGAAGTCGTTCACACGGTCGTCCCCAGCTTTTTTCTTAGCCAGCCCTCGGGCCCCCCTTCCCCGTCCCCATAATCCCCCCTCCGACGGATGGAGCGCAACGGCCAGTATTTCGGAGCCAAGGCGTTCGGTCAGCACCCTCCATTTGCCCACACGCGTCCGTCTGCTCGCCTAAAGCAGCAAAAAAAAAGAGAAAAGAAAAGGCAGAGCCAGCAGCAGTGGGACGTTTGTCATCAAGAAACGCAGGCCCCCCGTTCGTTCGACGGCAGTCATCGACGGGCGTGAGCGTCGCACGCGCGAACCCGCTCTCAAAGGAATCTTTACGGCGTTCTTACGAATCACCCACGTTCGTGCTCCTGCATGCACGCCCACTAAAGGTTCTTTTCTTTCTTTCTCTCTCTTTGATCCGACGTGACTCGTAGTCTACCCATTGCGTCCAAGGGGGGAGGTGGGAGGTGCTCGCGATGCGCAGAGCCCGGCTTTCCTCCCCACCCCCCCCCTTCCTCCAGGTTCATGTCCACATCGGGCAGTCTTCTCGAACGACCCCGTGCCACGTTTCCTCCTCATCCTTCTTCCACCCTCTCTCCGACCCCTCCCCACGAAATTAAAATAAACCCCCCCCCCCCTCCCGTTAGTCGAACATGAGACATGCGAAAGGAAAACCAGCCGACGCGTGCTCGAACAAAGACGTGCTCCAGTCCCAAATCGCCCATGGCCCTGCAGGCTCTTCTTCTTCTTCTTCTGGGGTCTCAAAGGCTCCCTCCCGGGACAAAGCAGCGTTGAGGATGAAAACAAGAGAACTGACTCTTCTTGAAAGAGAGGTTCCAAGAGACGGGGCCCAGAGGGGGGTGAGCGCACGGTTGGGACAGGATTCAAGCTTTCCACCCGGATTAGCCTTGTAGACCAGCGCCGTGCTCTCAGGGCGCGAATGAAGACAAGCAAGAAACGAATTCGTGTTGCCGCACCAGCTCTTCCTCTCTCATCTTGTCTTTCCCCCATTTGTCCCTTAACGTTTGCTCCACTGCCCGTTTCTTCGCTTCCGTCCCAATGCGTTCCAGCAGAAGAAAGTCGAAGCCCTTCCCCTCCCTTCCTAACTTTACGCCACGCTCCCTCCGTCCTTCTTTCCGGCAGCCTCAAAGAGCATCCGGCTGATCCGGATCACGCGTTGCGGTTCGATTTTTTCTTTGGGTGGGGGGGGGGG